CTCTCAAAAGAAATAAACTTAAAAAAAAAAAACCTCAAAAAAAGCTGATGGAAGTAAAGAGGACTTGGCAGTAACCACTGATATTTTAAATGACATTCTGCTGATACTACAGTGAACTTCTTCAAATAGCACTACTGCAGTATTGACAATCAACAGTTGCTAAATTGTGTTAGTCTGCTTTAAATATTTCTTCCCTTCATAAAACAAAAAAGCCATTACTGGACTGGTGCTCCAGCATGGTAAATAATCAGAAATGATATATTTTATTGGACTTAAAAATGGAGGACAATTGTGGCCAACGTGAAAGGACTGAGTTCCCATTTAACGGAACCATTTGAAATGTACCCATGTGGCCACTCACATTCCTTACATGTTAGGCAGTGTTTCAAAATGCTTACTTTTACTTGCTGATTAAGAAATGAACAATTCAGCGTTTGCAAATAATTTTTCCTGGTGGATGCTAACAACACGTTATAACATTTTACAGACAGAAATGCATTTCCTATTTGGCTGAAACCTTATACTGTCCAACTGGGTATGCAAGATTGCGTTTGATTTTTTTTTTTTTTTGGCCACATGTATGATTTTTGGAGTTATTTCTGAAACCTTGGGAACTAATCTAATGCCAACATCGGGGCTTGCAATGCCTCAGAACAAGTTCCTTATAAAAGGAGTCCTATTAAGAAGGTACTGAAAGTAAGTAAATCTCACTCTTGTATATCATCATGCATTTTCTTTAGCTTAACTTACATTCTGTGAAGCTTCTGGGAATTCTACGGCAATGACAGATCATGTTTTTTTGGTATTCATTTCAGTTTTTAGCAAACAAGGGAATGTTTTGACTTAGGCTGAACACAAGTTTTCATAGAGACAAACAGGACGAAGGGAAGGCCAAGATAATGCTCTTGGCCTTTTACGAGCCAGGGAGTAACTGTGGGGGAAGAAGACTAGTCACAGAGACTGACCAAACCGAGTTAGTATCCAACAGCATTTGTGCTCTTTCCAATCAATCACCCGGCCATCCGTGGCACAGCTCTGGTAAGGGCACATTTTTGCCACAGGGCCACGTCCAAAGGCCAGAGAGGAGCCAGGAGGGAGGATATTTGCTCAAGATCTATCTCAGCAAGGAGGCAAGAATCCTGGCGACTTGGCAAACACTCGGGCTCTGATTTCTCAGGGGAGGACTTAATGTACTGGCTTCTTTTAGTTTCCGAGGATACTATTACCAAATAGCATTTTCTTCCTGTAAAGTAGAGCTCTGTAAAATATTTGGCAAATAACCAACAGACTAATTGCAGGTAGAGCTTTCTTAATGTTGTGCAAGCTGATGGAGATCTCATCTGGTGGAATTTTGGGGCAGAGAACTCTGAAGACTGAAGTGAGATCTAACCAGCCTCCGTAACAGTCGCACGTTTCCCTACCTGCATTGTGCTTTGCCAAGTATTTATCTTTGTACTGCTTCTTTTTCTTGCCGAACCAGGTACAGCTGGCCTGCTGCTCCTGTTTGGTTTTCTCCATGGCGATGCAAGCGACTCGCCTAGTGCACAGAGACGGAAAACAAACAAATAACTACTGTAAAGTTTCATGTTGATAAAAGAAAAATCATCCATTTGAAGACTTTATACAAACCTGCATGAACATACCGCTCACAAACTTAAAAAATTTTTCTTTAATGTCTATTTATTTTTGAGATAAAAAGAAAACAGGATCTGAAGAAGGCTAGACACTGACAGCCTGATGTGGGGCTCGAACTCATGAACTGTGAGATCATGACCTGAGCCAAAGTTAGATGCTTAACCAACTAAGTCACTCAGGTGCCCCATTGCTCATAAACTTTTCAAGGTAAAGGTTGCTTTTTGGCTTTCGCAATTTCATAGAGAGGTTTTAAAAACACAGGCTTGGGGTACCTGGGCGGCTCAGTTGGGTTGGGTGTCCAGCTCTTGGTTTTGGCTCAGGTCACGATCTCACCGATTGCGCGATCAAGCTCCGCATCAGGCTCCTCACTGAGTGTAGAGCCTGCCTGGGATTCTCTCCCTCCCCCTCTCTCTCCCCCTTCCCTACTGATGTGCTCGCTCGCTCTCACTCTCTCTCTCTCTCTCAAAAAAAAAAAAACAAAAAAAACCAAACAGAGGTTTCTAATAAAATGACATCACATTCCTTGAGCATATACTGATAACGCAGATGAGCAACCGAAACACATGGCTGTGACATCCGGTGGAATGAGCATGGAATTTTGAGCTGAGGCAGGTCTGGTTGGAATCTTGGCTCTATCACTCATTACCCTTTTATCAATTTAGGGTCAGGTGCTTTTCTGGAAAATTTGCATGTATCAACTCATTTAACCTTTCTAACAACGCACGAAATTGTGCCACCCCTTTACAGATGAGGGGATCAAAGGGCTGAGAGGTTAAGTAATTTGCCCCAGATCACACAGCTTAGTAAGTGGGAGAGTGAGTTCAGTCTGGTACCAGAGCCTAGGCTCTTGAGCAGTACATTTTATTGGCAAGTTTCTTAGCCTCTTAGGATAGCTGTTGTAAAGGATAAGAACAAAAAATGTAAGTAATGCCCCAGCACAGTGGTACACACAGTAGATGCTTAATAAATGGTACTATTACTACATGGTGATTCTAGGCTAAGAAAAAAATACTAATGAAATCCACAGAATTACATTCAGAGGGCACCTGGGTGGCCCAGTCGGTTAAGCACTCAACTCTTGATTTTGGCTCAGGTCATGATCTCACGGTTTATGGGATTGAGCCCTGTGTTGGGCTCCATGCTGACAGCAGGGAGCCTGATTGGAATTCTCTCTCTGCCCCTCCCCTGCTCATGCATGGTCTCTCTCAAAATAAAAGAAAAAAAGAATTACAATCAGAAAATTTTAATTTTGTTCTTTGTGATTATAGTGTTCAGCACAAATGTTGTTAAAAAGTTTCTCTCTTAGGTTTAGTCTAAGCAAATATTTGCCCTTCAGGATACTGCCACAGATGGTTTTGCTTAACGATTTTGCTTCTTTCACAGGGGTCCCCTGAGTGAGCCCACATAAGAAGAATCCAGGGGTGCCTGGTTGGCTCAGTCGGTGGAGTGTCTGACTCTTGATCTCAGGGTTGTGAATTCGAGCTCTGCGTTGGGT